ATTTTTTCATAAATTTAACTATTTTGAGATTTTTGAACCATTTTGCTGATTGTCCACAATTTGTTATAGATTGACTCAATTAATTCAATGAAAATCTGGGACAAGGATGGAATACCAAATGGCCGGTGATAAATGTCAACAGTTATAATCAGAATTGTTGAGTTGCTGGCATACCGCAATAAGTAATTTCCTTTTTAAATAAATTTCAGTCATCCGATCATATATGAGATTTAAAGATTTTGAATTGAAATTTTTTTTATTAGATCAATAAAATTGCACAAAACTATAGTGCAATGTTGTCAGTAAAGCTACCAACAAGACAAAAATGAAAGAATATAACATTTTTTGTGACAAGTGGCATGTTTGTTATTTCTTCCGCAGTTTTTTCAAAATTTTTTCTCTATAGCAAAAATTATTTGATAAGTATACTAAGTGGAAATATAATAACTCAACTACTCATAAGCAGCACCTTCCCTTGTCTTTCCTCTCTTTCTCTCTCTCTTTCTTTCTCTTTCTTTCTCTCTTTAATTTTTTTTATTATCATCTTTTGATTTTTCACACAAACTTTGTTAATTTCCAGTACATAACCACTTTTTCACAAAATAACTTATCACACTTCGTTTAACTACTTTACTTATTTTGTGAGGAACAGTGAGGCAGAGGGGTCATGTAAATTACTTTGTTTATTTCCACTACCATACTTGTTGCAAGCATCATCACCGCCAGCACAAATATGTATCTTTGAGCTTTTAACACCATCAGTTTCAGCATCACATGATGTTTGATTGTGTTCCAATCCCTTCAACAACTTATTCTCCTGATATGAAGAATTTTTGTTTGATTTCAAAAAGCTTTCATCTCCATTTTGTTGCAACAAATCATCTTCTTGTTCGTAACTATAAAGTCCTAACATCCTTAAAGGACTTTGTGTTTCACGATTCCAGAGATTTTTTGATCGGCGATGGCAAGGAGGAAGAGAGCTGTTTTGGAACCCGTTTCTATCATCTTGTTCTTATATATTTCAGAAAATATCGACAAACTTCTAATTTTCAAGAAAAACCAAAAACATTTGAAAATATCCCTTCAATAAACATACATTAATTAACCATTCAGATTAATTTAAAAACTATTAAAAGCAATGATTTATTTAGGCATAATTGTTTTTACGAAAAGAAAATTTGTATAAATGTTTATCGAAATTGCAAGCAATAAAAGAAAATAGTGTGCAAATAAAAAACGCCTCTACAACTTTAAAATATTGTTGCTTGTTTTAATACTGTTATACATACTGACTATGTTAATTCAACTGAATCAACTACTAAATTTAATTAATAAGTATTTTCTTTCTTAAATAAATTTCAGTCATCCGATCATATATGACATTTAAAAGTTTTGAATAAAATTTTTTTTTTTATAAGATCAATGAAATTGCACTTAACTATAGTTCAATGTCTTCAGTAAAGCTATCAACAAGACAAAATTGAAAGAATATAACTTTTTTATGACATATTTACTCACGCATGTGGCATGTTGATTGTTATTTCTTCTAGTTTTTTTTTCAAAATTTTTTTTATATGGCAAAAATTATTTGATAAGTATACTAAGTGCAAATATAATAATTCAACTACTCATAAGCAGCACCTTCCCTTGTTTTATCTCTCTCTCTCTCTCTCTTTCTCTTTCTTTCGTTCTCTCTTTTATACTTATTTTTTATTTTCTTTTACTTTTTCACACAAACCTCGTTTCCAGTACATAACCACTTTTTCACGAAATAAATTATTACACTAAAAGATGGGCAGTAATGTAATAAAGTGATGTAATTATGTAATTCAAATTACAATTGTATGATAATTTGTATCGAAATTACTTTTTAAGTAATTGGTAATTTGTAATTTAGTAATTTCATCTTTCATGTAATTTGGTAGTTTCAAAGTAATTTCAAATTATATTTTGACTAAAAAATATAGCTTATATGTAAGTGAAGAGATATACTTACAAAAATTATTATTATTATTATTAATATTGAAAAATTTTTTCTTGAAATTCTAAAAATTTTTAAAATTTCATTTGCTTTTTGAAGTTTTATGGTCATATAAATACATCAAAGAAATTTTTTGATGTATTTGTATCATTGTATCATGTATAAATTTTGATGTATTTAAATGATGTATTTATCTATTTTGACGCTTCTTTCTTTCCCTATTTCTTTCCTTCTTCCTTTCTTTCATTTTTTTTCAGTCGTTCATTAAAGGAATGAACAAATTGTTGGTCAAAAGAAAGTAAATTAATAAAAGAATATGAAAATGACATCAAAGAATATCAGTGCAAAGAAAAATCAATGTTTAAATAACGTCAAACAAAATTTTTTCTTCTTTTATTCAAAACTGGTTTGATGTAATTTAATTTCATGTAATTTGAAATTAGTCATTTGTAATTAGTTATTTGGCTCTTTTAATAAATGTAATTTGTAATTGGTATCGAAATTACAATATTTAGAGTATTTTGTAATCTGCATCGAAATTACAGTATAGTGTGTAATTTGCCCATCTCTGATAACACTTCGTTCAAATGATAACAGCACATACAGATTTTACTTAACCTCAGCAATCAATCAGACTGTAATATCATATTCGCAGAGAACGCAGAGAGGAAGGAAGCATTCCTGGTCATCCCAACCGATGTATCCGAACAGGATGTTTTGCACGCAGTACTCTGTTCCGTCTGCCAGTGAATTTGGTTCTCCACTATGCCAGGCACTCGTGTTTTGAATTGGTTTGAAGATGCCTGTTTTGAAAATTATTACAAATTTATTAAAACGTTTTTTCGATACAAAATTTGTGCTTCTAACATTTTAATAATGTTTTGTACGCTCCATGATTTTTGCTATAGAACTGCTCTGTTAAATAAAACCTTCACCGAGTTTTCTATGTTTAAAAATTCACATAGATAAAAAATTCTATAACAATTCACGTGCTTATAAAAATTTGTTATAACTCTTAAACTCCAGAGTTTATGACAACCAGCCTACCAAAACTAACATAAAATTTCCTTCAAGAAATTTTTTACATAAATATATTTATTTTCCATTTAATCTGTTCTGAAAATTCTAGACAATTAAATCCATTTATTACATGGTTAGCAAAGTTAATTTGAATGTCATTGCAATTGTTTTCTAACCTGGATATGGAGACCACAAGAATGGTGTCCTGACTCCTTTGATATACGTACGAAGACCGCCAATGTAGAATGCAAACCAAGTGGGAAAATTGGATCCAGGACAGAATGTATAACCTGATATTTTATGAAACACAAGAGTTCAAATGCATTCGTTAATGAAAGGATGTTGATACGTCACAATAAACCATTTAGAAATGACAGTTTAATAAATTTAAAATTTGATTCAAAAATTTCTTCATCACATGTATTAATCTTATTATGTATTTGTAATTTGCTCTTAATTTTTAAAATAAACTCAAATTTTCAAATTGCAGCACTGGTGGTTTACATGATTTTTACGTTTGTTAAACTTTTGAAAAAATGAAGAAATGATGCAAACTTGAAGCTGTGGAGTTGACGTACTCATAGCAAACATCATTTTCAACATCATTCTCGATCGTGGCGGGATGAGAGTTATAGATGCTGTTGCATAGAGACCTGCCTTTCGCCCAGGTTTGTCGTTCATAGCGCAGTTGGTAGCACTTGTCACTTTCGATAACGTAGTCAAAACCTTCGGGACAATCTGAATAGTAGCAATAAAAACTTGTGTAGATACATCAGTCGTAATAAAGTCGTTAGAATAAAATAGCGAGTTCACTAAAAAAAACAGCAGAATTAATAAAATAAACATGCCGTTTTGTTGGATGTATCCTTTGCAGCCTAGCAAAACTGATCCTGCATCAACATGGAAACGAATGTCTGCCTTGGGAAAACATGAGCACACACCATTTGAACTCATGTAATTCATTCCTCGCATTTGGTTGCATGTCTTAACCTTTAAATTCGTTATATTACGAAATTAAAATGATGATTTTGAAATAAAAATTATTATTCATGACTAACCAAGCATTTGATGATGCAATCACTTGAACTCCTGGCTTTGATTTTCAAAGCTATCGACATTCGATCATCAAAACAAACAGGCATCTTCTGCTTCCTTGAAACTAAGTAACTGTAAGCAGGCATGAATGTCGAATACTGCACTTGGCTTGATTTTACACGAACAGTAACGAGTAGAACTACAAGCGAAACAGAGAAGATAATAGGTTTGTGAATAGAACTTGATATTGCCATTAGAGAATTTTGCTGTTATTGTTCGATCACCTTTTTTATTATTATGAATATTATTTACAAAAATTACTTAGCGAAACTTATTAAAAAATTTAGTAGAAAAAGATAAGAATTAATTTTGATATTATAATATATGAAATAAAAATGTTTACAGAAAACTGTGAGAAATTATCGTGAAACTAAAGTTATTAATATATATATAAATACAGTAGCGGATCAAAGATCGATCGGGGGGCATTGTTCCGCCCGTTGTAAGCAGATATTTTATTCAACGTCAGAGAAAGGGTCGGTTAATGCGTAAAATTGACCAAAGATTGAACTTGATATGCAAAAAAAAGCTTTCAGCCACAAAACCACAAATCTTGCCCTCTCTTGTGAATGTTGACTTGCCCCCGTAAAACTTTTGACCATTTATTGTGAAAATTAAAAAATTTCAAATTTTCGGCCCACCACACCCCATGAAAGTTATCAGATTTGCCACTGTATAAATTTGCTGTCATTTCAGCTTTCATCAGTTTCTGGTTCAATTTTTCAATCTTTCGTGTTTTTTTTATTTTCATTATTTAACTTATTTTTATAGAAAACAAATTTTTTAACTACTTCTTTTTATATTTTATTTTATTCAGAAAAAACCTTTTTGGTAATTCTTTACCTTTTTCAATGTAGTATGTTATCAACTATTGTAAACTAAAACTTTGTTTTCTATATAAATAAATTAAAAAATTTGATGAAAATATGAAAAATAGATAGATTGAACTAGAAACTGATCAAAGCTGAAAATGCAGTGATTTTTCTTATCAGTTGTATCTGCGTCTACGAACTGAAGAAACTTTATAATGAACTGAAAATCGTTGTACGAAAAGTTGTAAATGATCAATGCCCGCAATGCTGCGATATTTTAAAAGAACTACATTTGTGAACGTGGGTCTGAATGCGTTCGTGTGTGTAATCGTGCTAGTGCGTTCGTACATGTGTTATGTGTTTATGTTGTGTGTATGCATGTGCGTAGTCTGCTATTTTTTGTTGTGTGTGTGTGTGTCTGTGCTGTTTGCAACTGTGATGAGTGTATATTTTGTGTATGTATGTGTGTTGTTTGCAATTGTGATGTGTAAATATTGTGTGTATGTGTATGTTTCATTTATTTTTCATTTTATTGATAAAAAGCCAGAAGCCCGCAAGGCTTGTACGGCAATCATCAAACATGAAGAAATACAAATTGTAAATAAACGAAATAGAAATATAACTATTAATAATAAATAATATATAACTAAAAATAACATCACAATTACAAACAATACACATACACAAACATGTACATATCACAAATGCAAACAACACACTACACACACACAACATACACACAACATACACACAAATTGCACCCTATACGTACTGGTATTCCTCCGGGCTCAATGCCGGGACCACTTTTGTTCAATTTGTTTTTGAACAACATAATCAAATCATAAACAACATAATCAAATCAATTGCCAAATTTTTTCTTTGTGCCGATGATACAATAATCTTGTTCCATAGTCCATCTTTAGAATGTTTTAATCAGGAATTGGCTTCTTTATTTGAATGGTGTCATTTTAATAAACTGCAAATAAATTTTAATAAGACTTTTTTCTTATAATATTTGGTCCAAAAATAACCATCAGTCAAATTAACCTTAAAATATATATTAATAATATAAACATTTATGAAGCGCCCATTCGCACAGCTGCTTCAGAGGCGCCCGTAGCCCGTGTTAAAAAGATGAGTCTTTAATCCCTTTTTGAAAAGACTCAACGAGGAACATTGTCTTAACTCAGGAGGTAACGCATTCCAGACATACGGAGCAGCGTGACAAAAACCGCGGCCAGCCAGGCGGGATCCGGCAACGGGAATGTTTAAGAAACCTGTTGAGCTGCTGCGGAGTGATCTAGTATGTTCATGTCTGGATATGAGGTCGTATAGATATGTTGGGGATTTTAATAAAAGGGTTTTGAAGATAAGGACTGCAATTTAGAAGACGATTCGAGCGGAAATTGGAAGCCAATGAAGCATTGGAAAGAGAATGGAAGAACTAAAACGAGGAGGTTTATTAAATATAAGTCTAGCAGTTTTATTAGCAGAGCTCTATCGTTTTTCGATGATTTGTGTTGTTAGAGGTCGTTGTTTCACGAGTTTTTTCTCGGAGGTGGCGTTACTGGTCCTGACGACACAGCGGACTATCGGTTGGTGAAATTTATTGTGGTTTTCGGTGGTTTTTGGAGTGGTTTGTAACGGTGTATGGAGTGTGTTGTGTGTTTCAACAGTATTAATAATAATAGAGTTGAAAGTATTAAATTTTTAGGCGTTACCATTAGCTCTGATTTAGGGTTGTCCAATTATATATCAAATAAATCTATTAAATATTATTTTAAATAAGCTAAGACGTATTATATATCCATTTCATGTTGTTAAAATGCTGTATTATACCATAATATATCTTTACCTGATATACTGTCTGCCCATATGGGACAAAAGTCCAAGTTGTCAGTTGTCATTAATAATGAAGTGCCAACGATATTTTTTAAAAATTCTCTATGGATTAAAAAAAATTGATCATGTTTCACTTTTTTTTTAACTAACTAAGATTTTCACAATAGTAAATTTATACAAATTTTATTTACTGTTATTTATTTTCAAATTATATATTTTGAATGTTTCTCATAACGCATCTAAAATAATTTTAAATTTTAAGTCTACCATTAGTTTTCAATCTAGGCATAGAAATGAGTTTTACTTGTCTGTAATAAGAACAAACGTTCCCAAAAACAGTACTTTAATGACGGGCCTCAGACTATGGAACAAGCTTTCAAGTGATATCCAACGGTGTAACTGCTATTCAAAGTTTAAATCTTCTGTATTTAATTTAGTTATATCTAATACTATTTGAGCTCTTTTAGGGGTCTCGTGGCCGAGTGGTTAGCGTGCTCGTCTACCACTCTCACGACCCGGGTTCAAATTCTGCATTTTCTACAGGTTTATCCGAGTAGCCGACCCCCGGCCAATCCAGCCGTCTATCCTTTCGGGGTTGGCAAATGGGTAGACGATGTAATTTTGAATGTAAAATGTATGTTGTTTGCAATTGTCATATGTGTATGTTGTGCTTATGTGTGTATGTGTGCGTGTTGTTTGCATTTTTGAGTGTGTATGTGTATTGTTTGTAATTGTGATGTGTGTATGCTGTGTGTACGAATGTGTGTTGTTTGCTATTGTAATGTGGGTGTTTGTTGTGTGTATGAGTGTGTGTGTGTTTGCAATTGCCATATGTGTATGTTGTGCGTATGTGTGTTGTTTGCAGCGTATGTGTGTTGTTTGCATATGTTATGTGTGCATGTTGTGAAAAATTAATGTTTGGTTGTAACGTTGCATTTGAAAAACAGACATTTTAAGACAATAGAGAGTTGGAACAATGGAAAACGCCGTGGCTGCTCCGAAAAAATGAAAAAGGGGCTTTGCATCCGCATTAATTAACACATACACCAAAAACAAAGAGGAAATTTATAAAATAATAATGTATAAAATTTTTTTTAACAAATGTGTTTTGTGAAGTGAAAGCAAAAATTAGTAAAATATTTCTCTCGACAAAAAATTCAGAAAACATTTTTGCTTAATATGCGTCATGCGAATTTCTGGATCGATGATGTGAATATATCATCACAACTTATGCCATTTGAAACGGGTAGGTAGTAGAGCCCCAAGCGGATAACCGCAATGCGGTTTCAAACCGTGAATGAATTTTTCATCCACAACCGCGGTTGCGGGTAAAAAATTCTCAACATATCGTATATATATATATATATATACGTTTAAAGCATATTAGGCAACTTATAAGGCAACTTAGCATTGAGTAGTTGAAATCAAACGAAAAAAACCCACTCTCGTGCATTCCTACAATCAAAAAAGAATAAATTGGTGAAAAAAATTGATGAAAATGCCTTGTCAAACTCTTTTTGAATTTGCGTCAAGAAAAATGGCCTTCAAAAAATCAGAAAACTAAGTATATGGTCTGCAGGTGTTATACTTCAGGACTGGATTTTCAAATAATTTACGTATAAGCAGATAACCCAGATAACATCAACATTAACAATGGATGATTAGTTTACTTTCAACCAGACGTATGTTATAAAGAATTTAATAATTCTTCTAGTTTTTTGAAAGAATCCAGTTATTTCAAAGTCAGTGATTTTAATTAATTGACATCTAAATCTAATGTTTTTTATAATTTCAGTATTTTTCATATCAATTCACACAATCTAATACAAAAACTAACAATTTAGATATTCAATTATCCAATATTAGTAACAACTACGATGTGTTATCTATCACAAAAACGTAGCTAAATAATAGTAATGTAGATTTTGTTCAACTCCCTAACTATAATTTCGTTTTCAAGAACAGATCACAAAAATTCATGCCGGTGGTGTTGGTTTCTTTGTAAAAGATAATGTGAACTTCTTAAAATTAAAAACCGTAAATATATGGCAATCAAGTTGTTATACAAAAACACTCGCAAAATCATAATTTTTGTGGTCTGCTGCCCTCCAAATATTGACTCAGCAAGTTTTATACAAAACTGTGTCGATCGTTAATGATGCCCAAGCCAAACCGAAGGGAAAGAAAATTTCAGCATCAATTTGTTGCAAAATGACCGTCAAAATATCGCATCTAATATTCTCAACTTATTCAGCTCAATCAACTTCCTACCTATGATATGGGCGCCTATCAAATGCAATGTGTATGATGCGTGGTTTGCACGCGTATTCATATACGCTGTGTGTGTTTGTCGTTGAAACCTCTGAAGCAAACGCAAGAGCGAGAGAGAAACCTTTAACCTTTATGATAACGAAACCTACTCGGATCACTGAACTTTCTTCATCCTTAATAGACAATGTTCTAACAAACAATTTTTTCAACCAACTTTCTCGATCATTTTCCAATCTTCATCACTCGTCAAAATAAAACTCCAAGTACGAAACCTGTCACACCATGTTTATTCAGTGATTTTTAGCAGCGCAGATTGAATGAACTTTTAGAATCACTAGCTTCCACCGATTTAAAGCCTGTTTTAGATTCCGCTGATGTCAATCACGCTTTTTCAACATTCGTAGATATATTTCGTAAGAAAATTTCAACATTCTGTCCTCTAGTAAAAATTAATAATTATAAAAAAAAGAAACCATGGATAACTAAAGGTCTGTTAACGTCCTCTGCAAACAAAAATAAACTGTAAACCCTCTATCTGAAAAACCCAACTGAAAAAAATAAACAAATCTACAATAAAAATAGCCATTCAATAATAACGTCACGCCTTTCATGCCATGTTTTAACTCCTCCCCTCTTCCTGTCACATCCTGTCACACTCAGCTGTCACGTTCGAGCCCCAGTAATTATGTCACACCCGACCATTTTATGACCTAACCTATAATCTGATATTAATAAATTATTATAGATAAAATCATGACCTAAGTTTTGCACTTTTGTCACAATCAATTCAGATGATTTTTTCATGATCCGAATTGATTGGTCACTATCTTCTTGAATTATTGTTCATTTCCATCATTGTCATCGTGATCATCATCATTAACAATCTTATTTGCTAAACTTTTTTTGTGACTTTCTTGTACTGATCGTGGCTAAACTCCATCATTTGCTAAAATAAACTTAAGCTCTTTTTTCCTCTTTGTTATCATCTTTATGTTTCTTTTTTTACTGAAATTTGTGTGGATCGAAACAAAACATCGTTATTCTCTATAATCGACTTTTTCCGTTTCACGATGTCTTCATGTTTCTTCTTTTTGTTATCAACAAAGTTTTGACGCTCTTGTACATTTTTGAAGCAATGCCTAGAATTAGTTAAACCGCTGCCAAACTGTGGCTTAAAAATTTTGTTGAATTTTTTTCTAACTTTAGGCCTAAGCCATTTCAAAGTATTTTTAAAACTCTGCGTAGAACTATGACGTGGGTGAACCCTTTGATAGATGCTTGGTCGCCAAAAAGGAAATAAATAGTAGTCACAATAAGAAAAATCCTCAGTGGCGTATGGAGCGGCTATTGTGGGCAAACTCCACGATGAAGCCCAGGTTGTCAAAGAGGAGATAGTCACATTAAAGAAAATCCTCAGAGGCGTGTAAGAGTGTCTGTTAATAGCGAATCGCATGGTGGAGGCCTGGTTGCCAAAAAGTAAAAGTATCTTTCAAAATAAAGAATTTTCAGGTGTGCCAAGAATTTTTTGTAGGGGAACCTCATAATCCCAATAGTCAAAAAAAAGAAAGATAAAAAGTGGAAGCAGCAATAATTACGGTTCCCAATATATGCGCAGGGTGGGAGTCGGATAGTAAACTTGGTCGGTCCTTTTGCACTGCACCGGTATGGATGATGTCGCTCTGTGGGCTTTTTAAACGTTACGATTAGCCAGGTAAGGGTTTTACGTATATCTAGAATTGGCCCTGCTTCAGTGCTTAAATTTCCCTGCCGGTGGTGATGGGTCTGGACATTCATAAGGATAATCATACTTGAAAATAAATAAATGGACCAGCAAATTAATAAATGAATGAAAATTAAAAGGGTATTGATTAACTGACAATAATTTAAAAAAATACAGAATAAGCTAATCTCGATAGCACCATTATAAGAGCTTCAAAGCCGTTAAATCAGAACAAACAAACAAATAATATTCGTTTGTTTAAAATTTACAAATTTATTTATTTAAATAGTAGTGGTTAGTTATTAACAAATATCAATAATGGTTGCAAGTGTAATGTACGTTATTGAATGACCAACCAACATCATAGATGACAATTATGGAAGACTAGAAGCAATAATAAGTAAAGCGAGTAAAATTAGTTAACTCAACAAACAAATTGAGAAACATTATGTAGAATTTTCGTCGTCGCCGTTGACGCCATGAATGTTGCCACGGCGTTCCCTCTTACCGCTTCTTCCGTCAACACGCTCGTCGTCGCCGCTGTCCTCGCTGCGACGGCGATCGTCGACACGGTAGGATCGGTGTTGGTCATCAGCGCCGTGGCAATCGTACACGCCACCGGGGGCCGCGCGATACCGCACACCTTGGCTTTCTTCACGCGGGCGGTCGCTTTCTTTGCCAAACCTCGTCGGTCTACAATATCTCCTACAGACCTCAGGGTCGGAATATACTGGCCGAGCAAAAGAGATGTTTCGCCTTTCTTGCCAGGCGTGCGGACACGGACCGACCTTTCCGCACGCTCACAAGTCTTCTTTCAAGCATTGGGTCATTTCTTTATTATTATTAATGGAACTCTTCAAACATTCGACAAAGTTCTGTCATTTGCCGCTCTAACGTTTGCGACCCTCTGGTTTGATATTCTGGTTCCATGACCTGAATATTGGACCTGTTAAAAAAACTAGCCAACGATCTTGTGACTTCAAATCGTTGGGCGAACCTGAGTATTTTTTGTTTTTTTTTTCCTAAACCTTCAGCTCCAGCTCAGCATCCTCCGAGGCTGACAAGATAATTTTTGGCAAGCTGTCGTGCTTATGCTGACTGTTCCCCTGGTTATGCCAATGATATCAAGCAATTGGTCACTTTTGCCAAATCGCCGAAAAACTCGCCAGGTTTCATATGAAAAGCGTGCAATTTGTGTCTGTACGATTTTTCATGACCCCTCGTCTCGAAACGATCCTCAAGCTTCGACATCAACTCGTGATATCCTAGTCCTGTCAGGTCCCAAAGGCACTGAGCAGGCTCACCTGTTGATAAACAAGAAAGATGTGCCTCAATATCTTCCGAACTCCATCGGTTTTACCTTGCACGTATACCAAACTTTTTTACGAACGTCCTCAGGCGTCCTGTACCGTCAAACCTGTCAGGTAATAGAAAGCTACGCAACTTGGGACGATCACCACGTTCGAATCCATGCGTTGAACGTTGACTTTAGACTTTCTGGAGGGTAATGATGGTCCATCACATGCTGGTGAATCTTCATCCGTGTCCGATCCATGCAACTGTCGACTTGCTCTCGACCTGTAACCTGTCTTGAAAAAGAAAAGACCCCACGTTGGGTGTCAATTGTAGAATTTTTGTCGTTGTCGTCGACGATGCCGTGAAGGTTGCTGTGGCGTTCCCTCCTGCCGCTTCTTTTCTCGACACGCTTGTCGTTGCCGCTGTCCTTGCTGCGACGGCGATCGTCGACACGGTAGGGTCGGTGTCGGTCATCAGCGCCGTGGCGATCGTACACGCCACTAGCCGCTCGATACCGCACACCTTCACCTTCTTCATGCGGGCTAACGCTTCTTTGGCCGAGACTCGTCGGTCTACAATACCTCCTACAGACCTCAGGGTCGGAATATTCGGGCCGGGGGAAAGAGATGTTTCGCCCATCTTGCCGGGCGTACGGACCGACCTTTCCGCACACTCGCAAGTCTTTTCTCAAGCGTTGTGTCATTTCTTTGTTATTATTCTATTTATTAAAACAAAGACAATGTTATGGATTATATTTTATTATCAACTATATTCGACAACGATCAATAAATAATTCAAAATAACTAATTCAATAACCAAAATATCAACGTGTTATTAATTTCTTTTCTATTATTATTACTATCCTTATTATTATCGTTATTATTATTATTACCCTTATTATTATTGTTATTATTATTTGATATTTGTAATTCAATACCGATCAATTAAATTGGGATCTACCGTCGAACCTTTTCTGTAGCTGACGGAGTTTATATAGTCCTTTCCTCTTCATTCTTTTATACATACTGTAACATGATCAACCGTCAAAGTTGCTTGCATAATTTATTCGCCTGTCTTTGTCCACCATCGAAAAGTGTACCAAAGTTCAGGCATCATTGGTTGTTAACCATTAGCAGATTGAAAGTGTGTCACGAGATGAATATTCAAATCGCCCAGCAGCATCACGTGCACATCATGCATGAGCTTTTCTTTGTCCTCAAACCAAAATTGAGTCAAAGTTCAGTTGAATTGAATCTGACCACTAAAACAATTAATAACCGCCACCATAATCCTCAAATTTTACAATTACAACAAAAGTTAAAATTAAAACAGAGTGAAGAACCGTAACGTCATAACAACAAAACTATTAATATGGTTAAAGCTAAGGATAATAAGAATAAGTATAGAGGTAATCCCATTTGCCTGTAGGCACCCATTTGCCGTACTGGTTTTTATTGTAGCAAGCGATGTAATGGCCGTAAAACCTGGAAAAATCTCCTCCACAGTGTTCACCTGGTATGCACGTCAGTGTGTCTGTAAACTAAAATTGATAAGAATGAACTTCAACTTATGGAAATAATTCAAAAATATTATTCAGTTTGAAACACATTAACAGTTCGTGATGACGTAATCAATCGCGTGATCAATGAGTTGAGAAGATCATTTTCATCATCGTCATCACCTCTCAGTACAAATCATCATAATCATCATCATCATCATCATCGTGACGTCATTATTATAATCGTCAGGCTTTTTAAATGTGTTAAAAATAACCATAATAACAACCGTCGTCCAGAAAATTATGTTCCTCATCATCATCATCACCAACCACAACGTCACAGTATGACGTCACACCACCATGATTATCCTGTTACAGTAAAACATCAACGTCACATTACCATAATAGCGCCACAACACGTCATCATCATCATCATCATCATCACGCCACCATCATCATCATCATCATGACATCATCAAGCCTTCTCCTTTGCTTGCTCTTCCTTGATCAATTTTGTTTTACGAGTTTTCATCGTTCATTTGTTCATCGTTCATTACCTATAAAATATAGAATAGTTTTAAAATTTGCACGTTTATGTATAAGTCTCAATCAAAATTATTTCCTAAGTATTTATCAGATATATTAATTGAACCTAAACGCCCCGGTTTACGATCGTCTTCTTGTTCTCGCTTTTTCTTAACTCGAGTTAAACACTCTTTTGCCAAATCTGCTTTTGCTTTTTTTGGTCCTTTTCTCTAACTTTCTACCTATTTCTCTGACTACTTCTCCATTACTTGCGAAGTTCAGAGCGGATCTCAAGACCCATCTGTTTTCAAAAATCATTGAGGAGCGCTGTTTCGTAATCATTGCCAACCGGATTAACAGTTTTCTAAGGATGAATAAATACGTTGATACCTCGGTAAAAAAAGGAAGAATCAATGATTTGGAAAGCAATCCAACGAGCAAAAACAAACAAACTGATTTTTTACGTCGTCTTTTTGGATCTAACAAATCCTTATGGCGCACTACTGCACAATCTGCTATGAAAGTTGCTTTACCAGATGTTTCATGTTCCAAGTAAAATTATTGACATTTTGATTAACTATTTCAGCGGGTTTAGGATTCTATTTACCCTGAGCGACTTCATTAAGGATTGGGTCGATTTAAAAATAGGAATTGCTATGGACTGTTCAATTTCACCAGCCCTGTTTGTTTTAACAAAGTAAGTCATGTTGGATGTTGCAAGCGATTAAAAGATTAACTTGGGTGGAGGTGTTTGTATGCCATCGCTAAAACCATTTATGGACGGCGCTACTATTTTGACAAACTCAGCGCGAAATTGTAGAAAAATTTTGCAGAATCTAGATGAGTTGATGGAGTGAAGCGAAATGAAGTTCAAGCTGAAAAAATCTTTGTAAAAGTGACATGCTCACCATGTTTACCTCTTGTCAGCGAGAGGCTTCAAGATTCAAATGATTTAAACTTTGCTTCAAAAGTCAATCAAAGGTTTGGGCAGGTGGTACCACTTATCTTTAAAAAATTCCTCAAAAAAGAACTGCTGAACTTATCTAAGCTGTTAATCAACCGTTATACAAGAAAATGACTGCCTGCGTGTTTGACTTCGCTTGCTTTTCATAGTCATAAAACAGTTTTAAAACTACCTTTCAAGCCGGTAGTTGATGAATTCAAATGCGCCAAAATAAGATGTTAATGGATGCTTGACAACTTGGCAAATCAATGTATAGCCCAGATTAAGCCACTGTTGAAAACGGGTAAAAATGTAAAGCCAGAAATGAAATAGACCGGCAGAACAATCTTTGAAACTTAAGCGGAGTTCTCACATACACACATATATATATGTTAAATTTCTTGTTACGTAGATCGTTTAATTAATTGATATAATATTGAAAGACATTAAAAGAAGAGAAATAAACCAAGCAACGTTCTCGACTTGTTTATTATCCACCGGATCAACAGAAAAGGAAAAAGTGAAGTTACATACAAAGCAAAGAACATTTGGTCCAAAGAAAAATAAATGTATATTATAAATCATAATGTTTTAATATAAAACATAAAACTTGACGCCTTCTCATTTTATTTAAAACATTAGATGACCTTACCTAAATGTTCTGAAGACCCATCGCACACATCAGATTCTTTAGTCTTGGTTCTACCATTGGTTTTGTCAGAGCATCAGCAACTTGAAGTTCTGTCGCAACTCGTTCAACTGAAACTTCTTCTTCTGCAACCTTTTCTCTGACAAAGAAATGTCTAATGTGGATGTGCTTTGTTCTTCTGTGAAGTTCTGGATTGTGTGCTAAACGAATTGCTGCTTCATTGTCGACAAAAATTTCTGGCTTATTCTTTAGATCTACAATGTCGTTCAACAATCGTTTGAGCCATATCACTTCACGAAGTGCTTCACTTGCGGCAACGATTTCTGCTTCAGTAGTTGAAATCGCAACTGAGGGTTGACGTTGGCTAAACCAACTGATCCCGCTTCCTCCAAACATACTGATTACACCTGATGTCGATCTTCCACTAGATTTATCTCTCCCATGATCTGCATCACTGTAGGCTATAAGTGTATTGTTTTGACCAGACTTGTAAACAATACCGACATCAGTTGTGCCTTGCAAATATCTGAAAATTTGCTTAACTTGTGCTACATTGGACTTGCTGGGTTTCTCTAAACTTCTGGATGCTACTCCAACTGCATATGCAATATCTGGTCTTGTTCCCGTCATCAAGTACATCAATGCACCAACTGCTGATCTGTAAGGAAATTTCACTTCCTCATGTTCATTTTTGTTTTCATCGAACTCCTCAGATTTTGAAATCGGAGTTGTACAGGATTTAAACTGACTCATCCCAAACTTTTCAAGAATCATTCTTGTATAGGATGACTGACTGACATTAATATTTCCCTTCCCATCTTGATTAATCTCTAATCCAAGGAAATATTTTGCAGGTTTAGATGTAATCTTGAACTCTGACTTTAATTCTTTTTTAAATATTTTTAGTTCTTCTTTATCGGTTCCTGCAACTAGTCCATCATCAACATACAGTGCAAGTATGAGTTTCTTTCCTCCCTGTATTCTAATGAACAAACAAATATCTGCATCGCTTTGTTTGAAATGTCTCTTTTTCAAAAATTCAGCAAAGCGTTTGTTCCAACATTTTGGAGCTTGTTTAAGTCCATAGAGACTTTGCTTGAGTTTACAGACTCTTCCTGAATTATCTTTAAAACCTTCAGGTTGCTCCATGTAAATATCTTCATCTAGTTTGCTGTATAGAAAAGCTGTTGACACATCAAACTGCATGAGTGACATCATTTCATTTGCAGCAACACTTAATAGTGTTCTTATAGTTAAACTTTTGACTACAGGACTATAGGTTTCTTCATAGTCAATTCCCTTTTTCTGAGAAAAACCTTTTACTACTAGCCTGGCTTTAAAACGCTCAACAGAACCATCTGGATTGTGTTTTACCTTGTAGACCCATTTGCATGGTATTGCCTTATGACCTTTTTGAAGACTTACCAAATACCACGTTTGATTTTCCTTTAATGACTGCATTTTACTGTTCATGGCTTTAAACCATTCATCTTTTTCATCACTTTGAATGGCATCTTTGTAGCTCTCTGGTTCAAGTACTTCACTTAATGCAGACATAACGAAAGGATCATAACGAGATGGCTTTTTGATATTATTCCTGTCACGTAAAACCATACCTTTGGTCTTTTGATTACAACAGTCAGATTGATCTTCTTCATCAGATGAAACTGAACTACGGTTGTGAACATCTTCATTAGTGTCATCTGTAATTTCTTCTTTTGAATCATCATTTCTACTACTTGAGTCATTTTCTGATTTGCAATTGATGTGTTTTGCCTGTTTTTGAAGTTGTTTTATTTTTCAAAGAAAGCAAACGCCAATTTTATTTTTTGATATGTTGTTAAGCTATAAAAGCACTATATAAACAAATTTTAAAAATTAAAAAACGTTTGGTTCTTCATAGTTAAAAATGGCGCCAAACAAAAGAAGTTTTTCATTTTTTTGACATTTTGAGCTCCGATAGCTCAAAAAATTCAATACAGATTTTAACGAAATTTTGTGATTTATTTGTGACTATAAGGTACTTCTAAAATAACAAAAAATATTTATTTA